TTAAACCTTATTTTCAATAAGCAATCCTGAAAAATATTTGGGGGTGCTTAACTTTTTTCCAGGTGTATATATACATATATATGTGTGTGTGTGTATTTTGTTACGTTTTTTAATACCTAACCCGCTAGATATAGTGGGAAACGAATAAAAGAAAACAGAGCAGTACATACCAGTTAAAACTATTTAATGTTTACTTTAACAGTTCAGTAAAGAACAATGCTTGGCTATATGGGGAACAAGATGATGGTAAATTATATATACATTCTTTACACAGTTCTCAAACTCAGCTGCAATCTTTAACACTAACCTGCTATTGAGAAGAAAAATCAACAAAACATAACTACAAGAAATGCAATACAGACGAACAGTAACAATAAAATAACGTATTATTTATTAATAAATTAAAATGTAACAATTTCGTGTCCGGTTGGCGACTTTTCTTTGCAGGACAAATAAGCAATGGCGAGAAAAATAAGCCAATCACATTTACGTATTTCATTTTATGATAACAAACGTACGCTCGTAGCCTGGTTGGTATTTTTTTTATGGAAAATGGAGCGCTGTGGCTTCTGTCCCATGGCCCCAATTGATGATTTTGAGAGTATTTTGACGGTAACATATAGCCTAAGAACGACGTTAAGATACTAGATCTACTACAGTATTCTTTCCGTCGAGTGACAGCTTTTTTTGAGAGTCACAATCTGTTGGAGTGAAAATAATGTAGGCCTAGGGTCTACCCTATTGTTTGGATTTTGAACATAGGTTGTACGTGGAAAGCTTGTGTAGGCAACGCGCGTACGTACGTTACTACTTGCCGATGCCCAACCTATCTTATTATGTCGCTTTAATAATCATAAAATGAAATACGCAAATTTGTTTAGCTTATTTTTCTCGCCATTGCTTATCTGTCCTGCAAATAAGAAAAACCAAGTCGCGTCCGGCTGTTGCTTCACACAATGGTGCTGTCCTCTAATAATGACCAAGCAAAACTTGATAAAGCGTATAAGCATTAGAAACGATCATAGGAAATGCTTCCAGCGTGTTAGATTAAACACAGTATTTAATAGTATCATCTTATGGAAGACAAGAAACCAAAACCGTCATAAGCTCGTTACGGTATACACAGATAGTTACTAGACGCTATACTGACCAATAAGACGGATACATTTGTTACACTATCTGGGTCATAAATCAAATGTAAGATACGATAAACAAAACAAGAAGCTGCAACAGCACCAGAATCTTAAATGAGCAAAATTACAAATGAGTTTTTTTTTTTTTTAGAAATTCATTCAGGCGAGACAATTAATACAAAACTTTCAATAAGACATCTTTACAGAATAAAATGGGAATGGAATGTACGAAGAATAACAGTGACATGTGGCGCCTTCAAACGAAAATTTTAGCGCATGATAACAATCCACATCATTTAAGCTCAAGAAGTAACTTCTTAATAAAATTAGAAGCAGCAATAGCATTCCATCGAATTCAAAACTAATATTCATAGTTAAGGGACAGAACTTAAATCAGGTACAACTTTATACTATTAAGTTGGTTTAATGTTAAGGAATAGAAAAGCAATAGGAAAAAGAAACTTTTGGAACCAAAGGTAAGAGACCGAATGTAGCCCAAACAACTTTAACGTAATCTGATGTGATTGTATGTGTCTAATGTTCTATGGAAGTTAGATGATATATTAACATACCAAAAGACGGTCTTTGTTTATTCCAAACGCATATGGTGATGATGACGTCAGCAGTATAGATGACAACGCTCAAATGAATTTGCTAACATTATCGTAGTGTTATTTCAATTTTTTTTTAATTCAATGCTGCATTCCGAATATAAACAACATTAGTAATATATAGCCGTCCATCTTGGACTAAATTATCTAATAAATTGAAAATACGTTTGAGATTTTATAAACAAGAACAAACATTTTATATTGTTTCAAACTAGTTTTCATGACTTCCGGGTGTTGAGACTGAAATAATATCTAAACACAACACTATGTAAATAACTTTATATCCACAATGTACGTCTTTAATTAATTTCAATGTTAATAACATTTTTAGGCTAGTAACTTAAAACCCTCAATGAAACATATTAGAACACAACTGCGTAGTTTCAGGGAATGACACGTGTCTGTAATTAAAAATAAAGAATAAAACGTAAATCTAGCAAAATCTGAGGAAGGGACAGATTAAATCTTAAAACACTTTTTTATAATTTTAATCCATGCCGAAAAAAACATTTGTCTTTCAATGTTCAAGTAATAATGTCATGATCCACTATATTTGAATAATTCCATAACTGATTAAAAATGAGAAAAAGATTATTCACGCCGAGTTATTCTTAGATTTAACACAATGTCAGGGGAAAAAAATAATTCCCATTTGACTAATAAAACATTTATCTAAAAATAACCAATATAACTTTAACTTCTTCTGTAACTATTTTTTCAAGATCATTTCAAATCCTACGTTTGTTTAACAACTATAATTGTAATATTCTGTCAAAATATTAACTCGTGTTTAAATAAGTTAATATAATTCACACCAATAACTTTCCAAGTAGTTCAAGAAAAAAAAGATTAACTCAGTGACTTTTATTTTATAAACAAGTGCAACAAAATGTGATGCACTAAACATTTTAAAAAGAAGAATGAAACGTGAGAGTGAGGACAGGTAGTTTTAGAATCAGTAGAAACATTCAGCAGTTGAATTCTTTTAGGAGATTCGTTTCTTTTATTCTAAAGCTGCACAATGGGCTGTCTATGCTATGCCCACTGGAAAGATTGAACACCAATTCTTTGTATCATAAGCCTTCAAGTTAACCTCTGAACCATTGACGAAAGTGATCAGTGAGGTTATATAGCCTCACTGTGCATTCTATTCTTGATTAAATTCATTGTTTAAATATAGATTATCAAAAAACTAAAAAATGGTAATGCACATAATTCATAAACAGGGCTATTTCATAAGCATTCTCACAATTGTTTAAGCAACCATCTCAATTCTTTCATTAATCGGAGACAAACACGTAACCATAAATAAGAGCAACTAATAAACTTCTAAGTGGTAAAAAATTTAAATTATTGATTGGAAATATTCTGATTTTGGCAACTCTGAGGAATAATTAAATAAAACTATAACAACAACTTTAATATTTCTTTTATAACAAATAAAGATAAGCAATTTCTATTCAGCAGTTTGCTACTTAAAAGTTAATTTCAGACAAGAAATACAAACGTTAAACTTCCTGGGATTTTAAAGATTTTAAATAAACTTGGTTATTTTGCATAACTGTATAAGCAAGCATAGAAAAAGAAACTAAGAGTACAATGTGAAAATATTAATTTGTCATTTAATTTAAAGTATAGAATTTTCCTACTGCATTATTCATATAAACTTAAAATATATGCCTGTCAACTGCACATATATATGTATAAACTAGTGAAAACAGAATGTAAGACTTGCTTTTTTAAATAAACTTAACAAACTGTCCTTTTTTATATACTTCTACCTTTCATTAATACAAGTTATGAAATATTTTTTGAGCAATACTTCACTGGTTATGGAGTTCAACTCCCAATCTGTGGGTTGTGCGATTAAAACCCATCACCAAACATTCTCACCTTTTCAGCATGGGAGCATTATATTGGGATGATCAATCCCAATTTTCATTGGCAAAGAGTATCCCAAGAGTTGGTACTGTTCAGTAGATGCTTTCCCCTCTAATCTATCACTTCAAAATTAGTGAGGGATAGAGCTGATGGTCTTGAGTTGCTTTGCACAAAATTCAATAACAAATAAACAAATAGAGTGAAGGCTTCATAGGAACACCTACTAGATTAATGAGGACAAAGTAAGCCAAATGAAAGTTAAGCTTTTACCAAAAAAAAACAACGATATTTTTTATATCACACCTATACATGTAGGTCACGAAAACCAGGAAACGACGATATTGTTATATTACACCTATACGTGTAGATCACGAAAACCAAGAGAACAACAACATTGTTATAATACACCGATACATGTAGGTCACGAGAACAACGATATTGTTATATCACACCTATACATGTAGGTCACGAAAACCAGGAGAACCACGATATTTTTATATCACACCTATACATGTAGATCACGAAAACCAGGAGAACCACGATATTTTTATATCACACCTATACATGTAGATCACGGAGAACCACGATATTTTTATATCACACCTATACATGTAGGTCACGAAAAACAGGAGTACCACGATATTTTTATATCACACCTATACATGTAGGTCACGAAAACCAGGAGAACCACGATATTGTTATGTCACACCCATGCATGTAGGTCACAAAATCCAGAAGAACAACAATATTGTTACATCACAGCTGTATATGTAGGTAAAAACAACAACTACAAAAGAAAACAACCACATTGTTACACAACTCCTGTACACATAGGTCATTCTCCAGCACCCGACATCTACCTGTAACCCCAGACATATGTATGATAGGGTAACATCATAAACATTTCCCACCATCCCTCACACTAGAAAAGCAATATCTTTCTCAGCTATTCTCCCATTTGCTCAACTTATGTTTCTTGATTGTTTGTTTGATTTTGCATAAAGATATGTGAAGACCATCCGTCCTGAATTTTGAAGTAACAGACTAAAGGAAAGGCAGCTAGTCAGCCCCACCCAATGTCAATTCTGGGGTTGCTATTTTCAGATTGAATAGTGGGATTTGACCATTAATCTGATTATACATTCATGGACCAAAAGTATAGAGCACAATTCTTTGTATTTTGGTGGTAATGGGACATGAACCTCAGCTCCACAATGTGGCATGATAACCACTGGGCCACATTCAGCCCACGTTCTCGCATGCTTTTCAACTGATGTGTATACAGAATTATGAGGCAAGGAAAGCAATCCTCGTAAAATTTATGTAACTGAGAAGGAAAAGAAAAAAGCATATCACACTTTAAAGGAAAAACTGAAAGACAGAAACGGTTCAAATTATCAGTGACAGTCTTTCTTACAAGATGCCATTGAAGAAAGGCTTTTGTAAATAGCTGCAAGATTTTTTCTAGACTCTTTATATTCTCAATTATATGTAGTTGTTCTCTGTCCGAGTTCAAAATTATGTCTCATACTTCTTAGTTAACAGAGATGATGAGTTCAGTTTCTGCCACTACACTACTGTAACTACATCGCTTTGATTTTATTTTTTGTTTAAGTTTCATAAGTTTTAACGAGTATTGAAATGCTTTTCACAATTTTTTGTTGCAGTTATGAGCGACCTAATGTTTTAGATATTTTACTAAGACTTATGGTACTGTATTACACTATTTGATATACAGAGAAGGTTTCCTTTCACTTGAAACAGTAAATACATAATTTTTCTTGTCCGTAACTGGGCTTGACCTTTCACCAAACCAGTTCAGTTTTACAAAAGATTTCAACATACTGATAAAACTGCAAACAAGTTAATTGGACCTACTTAATGTACGTGTAGGGTTCAAAAGTAGTACAAATTATCTTCATACAGAAAACTTATGAATCTTCCTTGGTTTTAAATGATTAACAAATGTTTTTTTATTAAACTGTTAAGTATTTTGCTAGATGTGAAAATAAGAATGATCATACTATCTGGAACAATTAACAGGGTGTATACCGGTAATTGTTTGAGATGAGGATCTGAATGTACTTAAAAAAGTTCACTTTTAAACTGTAAAAAATGTGCTATTGACACAATGATCATGAGAACAAAATGTTATGATTTTACTTAACCACAAAGAAGCATTTTAAATGCACAAATAAAAAGCACAAAACATAATAAAACAAAAAAATGTGTTGTAGGTTTTGAACCATCTGAATGATGAAGTAACAACTGATCTTCAATGACAATTAACAACCAACAATATCCAACCCTCATATAAATCTTTAAAATAGCTACAATGTACTAACTGTAAGATGATGGCCACAACACCATGAATCAACAAGTTATGGAGTTTTCTAACAGATTCAACAAAAACAAAAATATTACTTTACTATTCATAAACACTTATCAGAGATATCTACTTGTCTCTACAAAAATACAAACATATATATTTCCTGTAATGGCACTTCTATTATATAGAGAAATGTAGTTTACAATAATCTGGTAAAAAAAAAACAACAAAACCCCCAGGTGTATTTTACCTGAGAAGGAGACACCACTACCAGTAAGATAATGTAACCAAGTTTTTGTTGTATATAAAAGATTTCTGCTACATTAACACTCATACATCAACCACATCTCATGGACAACATCTATGTACAATAATCTAAGTTCACCGGTTAAAACACAGAACATCACTTGAGCACATGAAAATCTTCAGACTGGGTTCTGTCTCTGTGATGTGTCTTGACATGTCCCTCTAGCTCTTCAGCTGCTACACACACACTTTCCCACAAGCTTGGCAAAAAAAACAGCTGCCTGCTGTTATAGAATAATATATGTATAACTATCATAAGAACCACTTCACAGATATAGTGGAGCATTTTTTTTTTGTATATGAATATTTTTGAAATAACTTTTATCGAACAGTTCAATAAAATTTCATAAATTCATTCTACATAGGATAATACCAGTTTAAGTGAAAAAATGAAAACTTTATGAGATTCTAGAAAAAACAAATTCACTGATGTTTTTCATAATTTATTTATTGGTTTTTATTTTTTCTAACTTTTAGTATAAAAACATTTGTTTGCGTAAGCTGCTGAAGAAAGTATTTATGTATCTATTTTATAATGATTAGTACATGATGTAATTGGTTAGTGATCTGATAACTGTAGCTAGATATATCGTTGCGTCAGCGAGGTCACATGACTAGTATCACGCCACGTCCTTCTCGAACCTTCGTGAATTATAAGGAGACTACTAGATTGGGGGTAGTCTGGTATATATAAGACGTTCACAACGTGAAGAGACAACGAGG